TAACATTGTTATCGTGATTATGAACTGTTCTTTCCACCATTCTTGGTGGTTGAGTCCTCAAAAGTTCGTTTCTTGCACTTACGCGTACTGTTTACGCGCGCCACAACCATTTTCGCCCATGAATGGGCGTGAATAACACCCCTCATGAATACCGTCGGAAATCGGTGGCCTTCACATTGTTGAAACATTGGCCCGAACAATATTTTGTCTATTTTTGTAGCATTTTTTGCATGTGCGTTGAACGATACTCGGTTGCCAGTTTGGTACAACCGAGGCTAAACCCGCTTCAACGTTGACTGAGGTTTGTGGATATACTAGACACGTCAACCTAACGAGCTGTCTAAAGGATTAGTGTATCAAACCGCACGTGTTTGGCGCTGTTCACGGTCCTCTTTGACCTGTCCTCCTGTACACCGTATTCGATATCTTTGATCCCTCCACGACAACCATGCTTGCACTTGTCATTGTTATTCCCGCACTCCCGAAAAGGATTAATTTGGACCAAATGTGTAACTTTTAGTAGTGGGAAATCGCGTTGACGATAGTTTAAGTGTTCGTCCGCCACCGTTAAGTCCTAACACTGCTTGACATATCACACGACAGTAAAACGTTCGCGAAGAGTGGCTACATTGTGCCATATGCTCTATAGGGTAGTGGATTTATTTTTGTCGGCTGATAGTTTGCCAATTTTAGACTTTGGTAGGTAGTATAATACCGACTTGCTGGGAAGGTTCGCGTAGAAAATTTTCACCTCAGGTTGAATATGATCAGTTGCTGCGGTAGATAAAAAGATTGTAGATGAAAAAGTCAGTAATTAGTCGACTGTTGATCGTATTGCGCTGGCAGTTTATATGTATGTAATACGATACATATGGAAATGGGCGCTTGTTACCCATATCCGTTCATTTTCTGGGTTCGGAACGTATAAATTCGTGTTCATTCTGTGGCGTGTTTCCAGGCGCTTTGAATCTTGCATATCTGATGCAGTGGACGTAGTAACTCGTTTCTGTAGTACTTGGACGTTGAATGTCGTGGTTCCCATAGGTCAAGCACACGGGCCACTGCTTCGACGGTGCTGACTGCTCCCACGAATGGTTGTCTCCGGACTACAAATTCGCTGGGTTCGACTGATCCTGTTTGTTGATCTGCGGGAAAACTAATCTAAATAAATAAGGAAGCATGGTTAGTGACGCTGCACACCACAATGCGTCGCGCTCAATACTCGAGGTTTGACGTACCTTCTTGAGTCCCATTAAAACTGGGTTGCTGTGTAGCATGTTGCGAGCTTGTGTCCAAGTACCATCCAGCACGACCAACCATTGATCACATTCAACTGATTCTACCTTGCCTCGGTTGTCTGTAAGCTTGTACTCATCAGCTGGTTCCGCATCGCGATGAGGGAACAGCAAATATGTTCTCTCAGATTTAAAGATGGGCATTAGTTCGGGGGATCTACAATGTGGAAAAAGGTGTTAGACCGGTTACCGGAGGTGGTATAAAAATGCTACTGGTAAGCGATGGAAGTTATCTACGCTCCGCCGATTTGGATCTAATATTGATGAGATTGAGTTGCCACTCACAAGTCCCTCATTACGCCGATGAAAGCAGGGGCACAGTTTTAAACAACGCGCTACTTCCTGTAACGAGTCTTCTTGGTATGCCTAATTGCGACAGCGTGACCACTTAAAGAGTCACGTGCTGCCTAGAATGTGTCCTGTCCGGCACAACTTACGATATGCTTGACAATAGCTGTCATCTGCAGTTAACAGAACCTAAAACGATGCAAGGTTTACTTACTGCGATCAATTTTCGGAGGAGTAAGATATTAGAACTCGCGGCTATGGTGTGATAAAGAGGAATGCTTTCCATACGTGTTTGTCACTCCGGTGTCACTTTTATACGGGTTTTTCGTATCCCAAGTGGCTGTGTTGCTGTTGATGGGCAAACTTTGATGGCCCAGGTTCGTCATCATTTGCTATGGTGTTACAGTAACCGTAATGGTTACCCGGTTGCGGAGAGTTGCATCCGCTGATTAGCATCGACGTCTATTCTGGCTGGGTTGTTTGCTTTTACATGGACGCAGAGTACCGGATTGCCCTCGTGAAGTAGCTAGCTGTCACTTGCACCTGGTGATTGGTCTGTTTTACGTCTTATGATGTGCATATGCTCGAAACTAAATGTATGAATCGCAACATCCGTTCGTTTTTTATCGGGTATATCACCAATCACTGAACGGCGGTGCAGTATTGGAGCATGTTTCTATTCGACTATCACAAATCGATGGACTTGAGACATTCTTAGTAAAGCACAACCGCTTTTGCGGTGGCCGTCATTCACAGGTGTGTATGGAGAAATCATATACCAAGTTATTCACGTACTTATATTCCATGCGCGTGCACACACATTGCCTACCCAGGAGTCTGATATCACGAACCCTCATGTTTTAACCAGCGGTAATCATTATTTTTTCCACAAACTGTTCCATTTGATTAGCTTCCCGTTGGCCGAGTGGGTAGCATGCTTGTGAGGTCTCGGGGTCGGTGATTTCGCACTACTGATCAGACCCAACCAGGTCGAATCAGCTGTCCAGTTATTTCTAGGTTTCCAGTTCACGCTTCATTTGCTCTACGCACGACGAATTCCTCCTATGAAATAACCCACTCCGCTACTATTTCCGAGTGGGACCAACTGGTGTAGCCATCCCCAGTGGTAACGTGTGTTATTCAAATTCCTGCGGCATCGAGATCGAGCCATGACAGACCCTGCGGTTATGCACAGCCGACGATCGGCTGAATTGCATGCTAATCATTCAGTCTATAACAAGGTGTCCGTTTTTTATTATGGTAATATAAGCAAAGTACGATTCGGGCAATCTCGTCGTGCACAAAGTGCCTCATTTGCTCTGCACCCGCGAAAATTCTTAAGCGTTATTGTAGGATCAGAGATTATCATCAACTCTTGGAAGGATGTGGCTTCGTTTCACGGTGCACCTTAATCGCTAACATCTAAATTTTCCGGCGAATGAATGTGATTTCTGTAAAGTGTAACAAATGATAATGACCATTTGGTTTTTTCCACCAGGCGGATTCCTCAAACGACGGAAACGAATAGGACGTCACACGTCTAAGCGATCAAATCTCAACAAAAATCAAACTGCACATGTGAAGACAAGGCTGACCGTGAATAGATGAGATCTGATGGAACATAGCCTTTCACCCGGACACAGCTGATATCATTGCAATAGGGTTCACTTACTACACCTTATCCCATCCAACTCTAACCCAAACCCGCAGTCTTTTAGCCTCGTCCCGTAATCAGAATGTCAGATCCGAACGACGTTCGGATGGCATCGAAAAATCGATGAGCCATGTGATATGTGCTAATAAGTTGTAATTTTGAAAACAGCGATGTCGGTACTGGTGAAAATAAGCCGTTTCGGTTACCGTGGGTAACCTTTAGCAAGGCGATTTTTACAACCAAGTGCCCGTAATCTTTTAGCCAAAACCCGCAATACTGCTGTCGCAGGTGTGCACGATCCAGTGCGGGCTGTAATGCCGTTCACATCCACCCGCCTAGCGGACCTAATTTGATTATGATAGTATGTTCAAATTGTTGTTCGGCAAAT